TCACTTCTGTGAGATACTGTATATATATATATATATATATATATAATACTTTCATTAAGTAAGGATGCATTTAATTGATCAAAGTGACCGTAAATACGTTGTTAGAAAAGATTGTTGTTGTTTTTTTGCTTTTTATCCATCAAAGTATCCTGAAAATATGTATCACCATTTTCAAAAAAAATATTAAACTGCTATTTTCAACATTGATTTGCACCAATTCAACATATTAGAATAGACCAAATGAACACTATGATTTCTGAAGGATCATGTGACAAATAATTGCAGCCTTGTTGAACATAAGGGACTTATTTCACAAACATGAAGAAAATATTTTACACACCCCAAACTTTTGAACCTTAGTGTATGTAGCTATATAGTGTTTAGTGTTGGAAACAGCATTTTGCTATTTAATGTAGATCTTGCTAAACAACGATGACTACCTTCCACTTTTATTGTATGTAAACGAGCAGCTTGGACATTCTGTTATTTTAAAAGGATGTTTATAAGCCAGTGTTACATGAATTATCCCGAGTCTATCGACGGTTATTGTTGTTATAGGTCTGCGAGGAGGCCCGGTGTCCCAATATTGGGGAATGTTGGGGGGGAGGAGAGTATGCCACTGCCACGGCAACCATTATGGTGAGTGTATTGAGTCTGCGAAATGCCCACACATACACAAGGACGATATCTCAATGTTATAGTCTTGACTAAACACCTCTACTTAATTTCCCACACTCTTGCTATAGTTGATGGGGGACACATGCACACGTGGCTGTAGGTTTTGTTCAGTTAAAACAGCGAGACGTCCTCCACCTCTTGACCCTGAGGAGCCATATAACACAGCTAAAGCCATTGCAGCATGGGGTCTGGACTATGTAGTACTCACATCAGTGGACAGAGATGGTGAGAAAACGTGAAACACCAGCAAACCAAAATGAAAGACTCCATGAAAAGCCTTGGACATTTGCCATGCTCATTGCTTTCCTCATTGATGTATTTCCTAGTAAAACTAAGACATTAAAGGGCTCATCCATTTAGTTACATTATAGCCATGAGTTTATCTGTTATAATCATTTTTAGTAAGTGAAGTTTTAGTAGTATGCTAGCATACAGATAACATATAGAAGAGAATAGACATGGACTAAGAAACACAAAACTTTCATTTTGGTTTCATTGTGTCTTTAAAATTTACCGTTACACTTTATTTTTGACTTCTGACCATATTTTTATTATAATGAATGAACAGACATTCCTGATGGAGGGGCTGAACACTTTGCAAAGACCGTCTCCAACCTTAAAGGAAGGTACAAAAATGAAAAAAAGAGTTTATTTGTTTTTAGAATCAACTCTTTCATCCATTTCTCTCATACATGATCTT